TCGTTGGCCTTCGGTTCGCCTATGGTCTCTCTGTGAGCTTGCTCAGGAACTGTCTGAGCCGTTCTCCCGGCATGCTGGGCAGCAGTGGGGGAGGAGCTCCAGACTGCCGGAGGTGAATGCAGGGAGGGAGGGAGGCAGGGAGGGAGGGAGCTCTGCTGCAGGGGGGAGGAGGGACTCTCTCTCGCTGTCGGAGCCCCATGTAAGTGGCACCATCCGGCTGCCCGGTCAGCCGCGTGTGCTCTGCAGTGGGGGGGGGGGGGAGAAAGAGTCCGGACATTAACAAATTCCCCCCGGACGCTATTTTTAGTTCAAAAATCCGGACATGTCCGGGGGAATCCGGACGAATGGTAACCCTAAGGATTAGGTCATTCAAAGCTTAACACATTAGGGGCTCAAACCCCCCCTCTTCTCTTGCTATTTTCCTCAAGCCCCATTGAAGGTGCAGCTCTTGCATTCCACTGAACACTAGGGTTACTGGAGTTTAGCATCACAGCTAGCCAGCTGCAGGGGGAGTACACAGTGCATCCTCCTCACCTTGCACTCCTGGTGGCATTTTACCTGAGGCACAATGACTCTCTCTGGACAGTGCACCACTGTACTGTCCACCACTGCCAGCTGTGCCTTAAAAGCAAAATTAAGCCCCAGATGGATATCCTGCAGCTATAAATAATAATGTTTACTTCTGAGATTATGATTCAAAATAGTAAAGCTGCAATTCTAATAGAGAAGACTCATCCTTAGACATTATGTCATATGCTAAAAATCTAATCCAAACAACCAGTCTGTTTCACTACAAATAGCAAACTTGAATGTCCTGGCAAACTGAAAGAACATGATTTACAAACAGTAGGTAGCATTTGGAGCTTGCCATATAAGCAGTGCTCCAACCTTTTGAGAAACACTAATGGCTTCGTTTGGTCCTTCTCAGCAGTGCAACAAAACCTCACGTCAGCAATAAACTTTGCATTGTACACACAAGAAGCTCAGCTTATACATATTTGTATTTTGGTGACAGACCACACACTTAGCAGCTACTTGTAAGATGTCCTATTGCTCTGATGTTTTTAGCATTATAGTACATTCAAGACTTCTAATCAGGACTGGTGTTATGTCCTAGGCTACACAACTTCTCAAACTAGAAGTACTGCTAGAGTTAATAATCACACAATAGGTAGATTCCACAAAACCATTTTTTTTTTTAAATTCACATAAGTAACTGGGCACTTTCCCAAACTGCTTTCCCATGCCACCTAATTGCTCCCCAGAGTCCCACACTGAAACTTGATCTTCTGTTAAGTTTTTTAAAGATACGCTTAAAATCCTTCAAAATGAATATCATTCACTCCACATGTTGTGTTACAGAGCGGCAGAGGACTCGGTATACTTACGAAGAAAAATCTTCGGACTCCAGATGCCAATCTTTCCGTTTTCAGCTTCCAGGTCAGGGGCTGAGGAGAGTTCAGTAGGAACACCACAGGCTTATGGTGAACGTGCACTGAGGAAATGGGATTCAAATGTAACGTGACCTGCAGAGCAACAGAAAAAGTTGTGACTATTTCCCTCTAACTGTTCAAAACAAAATTAAATATAAAACTCTGATTGAATAACAGGTCATCTTTACATACATTAAGGTTTCTAGAATTCAGACCTTCTGACCCAAGACTGATGGATTAGCCTTCTCCAAAACTGTCAGTCTGTGTTAACATTTGTATTCTGAAGTTGCAAAGTGCTGCAAAAGTGTTTAAGAAAACCTTGGCAAATGTTGATCAAAAATAGTGTGGGCAGAAGGTCAAACCACTAAACTGAGGGTTAGAGAACACAGAGATAAACCAAAAGAACTGCAACCTGCAAGGGGAGCTCAGGTATCTGATCTCTAAATGAAAGGCTGCAGAGGTTGTCTAGCAAGAGGCCTGAACATGCTGATATTGATGGGACTGAAATCACACCTGGGAAATACAAAAAAACAACCAGCACCAAACAAAAACAAAATTACACACAAGAGGAACCAGTCCAGTAACACAAGATGATACCATTACACCAGCCCTGACCTTCCTAGAGAAGGGATTCCAACAGAAATCTAGGCCTACAAAGGAATACATAAGAAGAAAATTAATAGAATTTCCAAAAGGACCATGTGGAAACAGGTATGGTAAACAAGACTTTACATTACAAAATAATGGGCTTTATAACCAAGCCCCTGTATGTCCCTAGACCTGCAGGGAACAAAGGAACAGAAAAAAATCATCTATGATCAACAGGCTAGGAACACAGCCAGTGCTCTATTCTTTCTAGGGAGAATATCAATAGCAGTAGTAGATTGCTGCCTCCTTAAAGGTGGTCCCACAAGACAATGAAAGGAAAGTTAGATGACCCACATGGCCATCAACGGGAGGGGAGGTGTTCCACATAAAGATTAATAGGAGTGGAGTGCCCAAGAGACTATTTGTGTGATTCACACTATGAAGAAGTTTGAGACTAGCTGGTATTCGGAATATCAAAGAGCAATCAAATCAACTACACTGTTGCAATAAAGGTTCATTTTTTAGAATGGCTCTTAGTACAGTATATCTTACTAAGATTATAGGTAGGGTTCTCCAGCCAATAGACCTTGCTCTACTACAATATCCCACAAGCCTTTGCCACACAGATTACCAGCTTCCTCCTCTTCTCCCCAAGCCAGCAATGCCCACAGGTCACTGATCAATCTGTAGTGCCTTCTGCTGTCTCTAGAGCAACAGGATGTGCTGCAGAAACAGAGAAAGGTAGCTGGCTGGGGGAGCACAATATATTCATCTTGCTTGGAGAATGAAGATCTCCACCCAATGACTGAGGAGATGAAATCCTCCCTAGACCTTTGATCACACTCAAATTCAAAGGGCAAGATGAGAGATACAAGCGTGGCCAGCAACTCTGTCTGCAGGAAACAAAGAAAAGGATGAACCTCGCTATAGACATTGAGTGGAGAGGATGAGAGCAGCCAAAAGGGAACACCCAGGGAAGAGACCTGGGGAGGATGTGTTATTTAGGGTTAAACCAAACGTAACATAAGAACGTAAGAATGGCCATACTGGGTCAGACCAAAGGTCCATCTAGCCCAGTATCCTGTCTTCCAAAAGTGGCCAATGCCAGCTGCCCCAGAGGGAATGAACAGAACAGAACAGGTAATCACCAAGTGATCCATTCCCTGCCAAGGGGTTTGGAGTGCGGGAGGGGGCATGGGCTCTGGCTGGGGGTGTGGGCTCTGGGGTAGGGCTGGGGATGAGGGGTGCAGGAGGGGGCTCTGGCCTGGGACCGAGGGGCTTGGGGTCAGGAGGGAGCTAGGGCAGGGGATTGTAGTGTGAGATGCGGGCTCCGGGCTCCAGGAGGGAGTTTGAGTGCGGGATTAGAAAATATTATTAATTTATTAGCCTTGTATTTTTTTTAAAGACTTACTCCAGTTGATTTTAATAGGGAGTTCTGATTAGAAATTCATAACACAGTATATACCCTGTTACTAACAGACCCAGCAAATTCCATCTCTGCAGCACCTGGTAAGGATCCACTGGAAAATAAGGCAATGAAGCTACATCATTATCTATATTTAAACTGACCTCAAACAACTGTGTTCAAAACTAACAACTAGAGTCCACATAATGAAGTACAAAGTTTGACTCCATCTTAGACTTTCTGAAGATTTTTGCTTGTCAGCAAAGTTGTGAGAGACAAAAAAACAAAACAAACAAACAAAACAAAAACAACCCGAACCACACTGCTGAGGCCGGACAGTCAGAGGAATTACCCTGACTGGATGTGCCATAAGAATTCTTGGTTATTATTCCAGTAAGTTTTGGTTGTTATTTCACTCTTTGGTTTTTTAAATCATCATTGCTGCATCTGGCTTTTCCCCCACAGGCTTCAGCACATGGCACCTGCTGTACAGACACAACACTGCCCTCTTTGCAACTATTGTGTGGTTCCTGGCTGGGATGACAGGACAGGGAGGAGCAACACTATATGTCACAGTCTTCCCACATTCCAGAAAGAAAAGTGCATGCTGGTCCTTTGGAAAAGTCACAGAAAGTTAAAATTGAAAAGGAATTTTTCACAAGTAAAATCTAACTTTTTCTGAAAATTCTCTCACACACACAAAACCAACACAATTTTGCATTGTTATCCTCTCCAAACAAAAAACAAATACACAAAAAACTTATCTGAAACTCAGTCTGGAAGCCTCTTAGACCCAGACTCCATGGAAATAAAGTGCAAAAAAATGTACACTTTTCTAGCAGACTCTGTGATGATGTTCCACCAGAGTGGATGGAATTCTCAAGCCTTCGGGACCCACACTCTCAGTGTCATTACTCCTCAGGTCCCACCTAAGTCAGTGAGTCTCCATTAGGCCCTTATCCCCCACCTCCATTCCTGTCATTTGCTATTTTTTTGCTAATGGGTCTGTCAGGTTTTAAAACCCGAATAAATAATCTAGGTACCAGCACAATGAGATTTCTACAATATATTTAATTTAGCTCTTGATCCACAGTCAGGTGTAGTTTCCTCCTATTTTTCTTTTGGGGCACACTGAGCAAATAACTTTTCCACTTGCCTCTCTTCTGTAACACTGTTGACATCATCACCATCTTCCCCATCCCTCTGCCCTGCAGTGTGGCAGCCATTTTTGATCATGTCACTCCCCTCTTTAAATCCTTCCACTGGCTCACAAAGTGCTACTGCATCAAGTGTAAGCTATGTCAGCACATTCAAATCTCTGTGTAAAACTCTGCCTCTCTCTGCTTATCTGGCCTTGTCAAGCTTCTTGCCACTTTGGTTCTGCCAACTGTTCCCAACTTCTTCTGCTTGTCCATCAGCTTCTTGCACGACTGCCTCCTTGACAACGTTCCTTATGTACGGTACCACCTCCCTGAGCTCATTTGCTTACATCTAAGTCCCTCTTCATAAACCACTTCTGCCATGCTGCTAACAATGAATCTAGCAGACATGTATAAAAAGAACCCTATTTGTTGTTCCTCTTCCCCGAAACTCTGAGTGCCTATCTGTTCTTTGACTGTGAGCTCAAGGCAGGGACTTCCCCCTCTTCAAAGTCTGGTCAGTGTCTAGCATACTGCAAGTACTACATAAACAAATTAATAAAAGGGTATTTGACTATTTCAAACCATTAAGCCAGAATGTATTTAAGGAAAATGTTTGTAGAAGAGACAAGTTACATAGAAAGTTTTTCCTTCTTGTTCTCTTTTTGTATTTTGTCAGACTGAATGCTTATTATTATTATTAAATATTTGTATTATGTAGTGCCAAGAGACCCCAATAAGAATCGCAGCCCCACCATGTTAGGCTCTGTACAAACAGCTATGAAGACATAGTGTCAAAACCTGGCTCCACTGAAGTTCACAGTGAAAGACCCATGGGGCCAGAATTTCACCCATGATTTACCTGAAAGCATTAGGGAAGTTACTCTATTTTATATGATGCCTTATGAAGTGATACTCCCCCATCCATCCTTCTAAATTTAATTTAAACTATTTATATGTGTTACATTTTTGTTGCATTCAACATCATGATATCTTAGCCAACAGCTATTAAACAGGCATCCTCCATTTTAGATGGCACTTGTAATTCTGCCTGAGCACTTGAGTCAGACAATATCAACATAAAATAAAAAGTGAATAATTAAATGAGGCAAAGAGTTATTAGGTCATCTAGTTCATCTACCAGTCAGCTACACCATAGTTTCTATTGCTTTCTCCAGCCTCCTTTTAAAATGTCCTAAATGATGGAGCTTTCACCAATTCCCTTGAATATTAATAGTAAATAAGCACATATGTCCCAGTATCCTCCCTTGATGAAGGTTTCACTTGTTTATTGATGTATCACAGTCAACATTTTCATAAACATTAATCTAACATTTCTGGGCATGCTTTTAAACAGTCCTTTCAGTTAAGCTTAAGTCCCAGAAGCTTTGTATGTCAAAATAGTACTGTTCTTCCAGAATGTGTCTGCCTATCTCTTAGCCTCCTTTGGGTCACACTCACTCACTCCCCCAAGTTATAAATTTCTAGGCACTAAAAGAATATTTTAGCTCAATCATGGACAAAATTTAACTTTAGGGCTATGCCAAAACACACATACTCAAAAATGATGGCAAATTCATTTAAAAAAAAATCATTCTTGCTTTGGCAATTGTTCCAACAACAAAATATATAGTTGCAGATGGGAAATGATACATACAAATGTCTAGTTGTCAGGTCAGTTAGAATAATCATTTAATATATGCTGTAAAAAGCTTTAAAACTATTAAATATGAGTTCAAAAAGAGAGATGTGTCCCTTATAAAACATGTTATCAAACTAAAGCAAGTATTACCTAGCAAACAATATTTGTGTGGGTGCTTATGCATGTAACGACTGTCTATACAGTTTGTAAAAAGCTCTTTTAAGGCCTCTATTAAACATACACAATATCTACAAGGTTAATACAGCTGCAGAGGTTTCGGTTTCCCTGGAGATGATAGTTTCATGGAAGGCTGAATATC